TCTCTGAATCCTCAATACACTTGCCAGGTTTCTCAACCGGCGATGCAGGAAGGCTGGGCTCCGGACGTGGTCGCGCGGGAAGCGCAACGTTTTCCTTCCAAGACTTCAGGTAGGGAACGTTGTCCTTCACATCGAGATAAACCTTGTTCCCGTTGTGATCCCTGAAGTAGGGTCTACAATTAGCTCTCCAGATAAAGTCAAACCCTTCCTCCATGCACTTCTGTCCAACCGAGAGAACGGATGGTGAATCGGGTAGAACATATGGTTCGGCGGTCGTATTGATCGAAGGAATCCTAACCTTGCATTGTTTGTCAGCATAGTTAGGTCCGTTGGCGGTAATCATGTTGATAGGCCGATCCGACAAGAAATCCTTTACATCACCGAGAACGTTTTTCGATATCAAATCCTGAGCACTGCCAGTGTCGGCAATCCATTCCATTTCAATCACAGGATCTGACCTGCTCCCCTTTGCTGGGCATCCGACAGATATGCCGGGCGCAATGCAATGAGCACAACCGAACTCAGTCTTACACATGAACTTACATGCTGGATTCGTACCTTGGTTCATACCTTCAACGGTTGACCTCAGCATCTTAGCTGTCGCCAAAGCATCCCGAACATCCTGCCCATCAGGTTTGGGCTTGTAGTTAACAGGAAATTCTTCACTGAAAACCCTCGGCTCGATTTCAACCTCACGCCACTTGGAAGATTCAGGGGGCGTGGGAATATAGTGATACTCAGGAGCATTCGAGAATCGCACAGATGCCAGAGCAACGTGAGCGGTGCTTGCACACGAGTCAATGTAGTTCGGCATTTCCTTCCGGAAAGCGTGTGCATCGGCTTGGGATGCCGAACCTGCAACAAATGCGCCTAAGAGGCAGACGGCGGCCGGAAGCGAAGCCTTAGGTTTCCGCCCCCCCGAGCCCTTGCTGTTCCCAGAGCCTTTGCTCCCCTTGGAGCCTCCACTACCCTTGGAACTTTTAGAGCTGGAACGAGACTTCTTCCTATGCTTCTTTTCTTTCTTCTGTTTCTTACTCTTCTTTTCGCCGCTAGACTCTCTACCGCTACCAGTGGCAGGAGCAGAAGGCTGGCCTTTGTGTATGAAACGGCACTTGTCACCCTTGTTGCATTTGCCATGCTTGAAGAATTTGCACTCGGCATTAATCTTCCCAGGAGATGGGCTCCCCCTTCCGGAGGGCGACTTGCCTCGGCCTTTACCTTTGCTTGGTGTCCTACCACGTGGCTTCTCGGGTATCTGATGCTTATAGGAACATTTTTCTTTGTTGCACGAACCGTTCCGAACAAAGTCAATGCAGAAGCCTTTGGGCACACGCTTTAGCGGTGCGGGTGCCGATGGCATACCTGCTGCGGCCTGCCTTGCAATCCGTTCCCGGTTGCGCTCAAGCCGCTTGATCTTGATGACCCGGTTAACGGCATTGTACAAATACTCATAGGATTTCTCCTGTGTGCCGTCTACTGCCCTTTCATAGATGGCGATGTCGTGCGCCAAAAGCTTACACTTCTTAACCTGTCTATGAAACAAGGGTTGCAAAACATCGTCAGCAGGTGCTTTCTTCATGCCTGAGAGAACAGTGTCCCAGTTACGCACGAATTGCACAAGGTTTTCGTTAAGCATGACGACATTGAGCAGATCCTCCATATCGTACACAGACCCGTGGAGTGCGTTGGTCGACAAATAAGCATTGAGCTTATGCAGAATCTGACGGCCACGAACTAAGCGACCTTCGTGCCCTTCCCTCTCTTTAAAAGTGTCAATCTGGCGAGCAAAATCACCTTCCAGAATGTTTGTGATTGCCGAGAGGATCTTCGCATCAAGCGTTGTGAATCCGTTAGGATCACGAAGGGACTCTTCCGTGGTATCATCCTTCCACACTTCACCGAGCCACTCGAAAGCCTCATCGGGACGGTCAGAGGCGGCGACCACAGCCTCGCGTGCGCGAAGCCTCCAGTTACGATAGTTCTCTGGCTGGGGAAACTTCGGAAACACAATCTTCTCAGCTTCCTTCACCTTAGGCCTTCCCCTTGTCGCCTCGGTTTCCTCGTCATCGTCCTTGTCTTTCTTGGACTTAACGACTTTCTTGAACATCTTCAGGAGGTCCTTTTTAGATAGGGAAATAGACGACGATGATGATGAATCAGATGAGTCTCTTTTCTTTTTCTTCTTTTTGTCCTTTTTCTTTTTCTTCTTCTTTTCACGGGAATCGTCTTCGGGCTCATCCCCGTCGCCGTCGCTTTCGGGAGGCGAGTCATCTCCACCTCCACCTCCGCCTGGCGGACCACCATCTACTTTACCCAGACCCGGAGGGGTATGAATAGGGTGTTCAATGGGAGACTGATCTCCTACGGCAGTTGGTGAATATGCCGTGGCTTTCGCCAGGCGATCACGAAGCTCCGCATTGGTGCGCTCAAGCTTCGTCATCGACTCAGCCTGTTGGCGATGCACTTGCATGAATGCACCCATCTCAGACTTGAGTTGGCTTAGTTCGCCATTCATGACTGCAACGGTGTCTTGGCTAGCCCGACTTCGATTAGCCAGCTCTCTTTCAGCTTGGGCTACAACGTCGGAGACTGTAACCTCAGCCTGATGAAGCCTGAGCTTGTAGTCAATGGCTTCACGTCGCATCTGCGACAACTCGTCGCTGTGTTTATTAGCCATGCTTTCGCCGGCTGCTCGAAGCATTTCTTCTTTCTGTTGCAGACGACTCTCCGCTTGGGCAAACTCCAACCGAAGTTGGGCAGCACCGGATAGCGCCTGTGCATGAAGCTGGTTGAATTGCTCCCTATGCAAATTGTTTGCTTCTGCCATGATCAATCCGTGGCGTGCTTCAGCTTCAGCTGCAACGGCTGGTCCTGTGTCTACTTGATGCACATGGACTGCTTGTTGCACCGTTGGCGCAAGGACATTTTGTTGATAGTAGTTCGCGACGTTTCTGACCTCGCTGGGTGAATATTGGGCCGAATTATATTGTTGAGGCGATCCCGCCAGGGATGCGAGTTGGTGCGCTGGGCTTGAGACATAGGCCCATTCTGACACCGCTCCTGGTGCACCTCTTCGGGGATCTGTTTGGGCCATCACGGCCAAGGTCTCTGCCGTCAGAGGAACAACTTGGCCACCCTCTCCGGTACCGGGGACAACCTGATCCGTGCCATCGTCTTGGACGGACATGGCAGGAAGAGAATTGAGATCCTCGGTATCGACGCGAGCCGCGGAAATGTCTATCGCGGGAATACCTGCAGGATTTACGGGAGCATCCATCGCGATCTACAAACGAAGTGAGACCTACGGCTGATAACCTATGTTTACAGGCAGAACAGCCAGAATGCAGACGCATATTTTCTTGAGCCAATGAATGACGGTAGGTGCAGTTGACTAGCTACATCTTCCACAAAATACAGTTATAGGGTCTAGGAGTTTAGGATTCGTTAGGGTTTAGGGTTCAGGGTTCAGGGTTTCAGGCGCTGGCCCAGACCCCCCCGACCCCCGACCGCGCAGTCGCGCAGAACCGCAGACCCTGCACCCAAGCCAGCCCCCAAACCCCGGCACCTCCCAATTCCCTGCCACTCAGACCGACCCCTGACCCCTGTCCGGGGCTACCGGTTCCATATTAAATAGAATTTTTTTTTTTTGGTCGGGGGGGGGGGGGGGGTGGGGGGGGTACCCCACTATTAAACGGGCCGTTACATTATTAGGGTTCCTTATATGAATCCTACTTTTTGAAGTTAGAGGCCCGGGGTTTGTTAATCAGGTTCCTGCATCAAGCTACAAGGCCTTATGGAATGATCCAAAGGATGCACCTAGGGACGTAACAAGCCTACGATGTTCCTAGAGTCCTTCAGGATCTCGCATAGTGGACCTTGCAGGGATCTTCGTGATTTTGCTGCTACGGGAAATCAAGCCCGATCCTTAAGTATAAATAAAGGCAGGATCCGACATACTCGTGAATCGGATATGGGTGGTTGTCAAAATTATGGTCCCTTTTGGGGTCCCTAATATGATACGGCACCTAATATTTTGGGCACCCCAACAAGGAACCCTAATTTTGACAACTACGCATATGCTCAAGTTACCATGTTGAACTCTCTCGACTGGTGCTGCACGGCGCCGCCATCCCAGGCCGTGGAGCCGTGGACGGACAAAAGTCTGGAGCAACCATTTTCCCTCTGCTCTGAGTGGACCGTCATAAGATGATGAAACCTTGCATGCAGCTACAGTGTATCCTGCCTTTGAAGCTTCCTTACCCAGGGATCATCGGACCAGAAGCGTAGAGGCTTGGGTGTTGGTGCACCGTAGAGCCCCAGCCACGTGTATGCATTGTAGCACATCTGAAGAAGCGGCGCCTGCCGCGGATGATATGGTAGTACACTCGAAACAGGATTCTCCAACATGAAGTGACCATCCATAAACATGGCCCGCTGAAAGTCAAGCCATAGTCGCGAAGAGTTGGTGACCCAAGAACACATGCTGGTACACAGCTGAAAAAGGCTTCACGACATCTTTCTGAGTTGCTGGGTACTGAAGTTCAGCTTTGGACACATTAGCCGGCTACACAAGAAGCTCCTGGCAAAACCCGACAACTAATGAACACTTCTCACGCTAAATGTGCTGTTTTGGAAGTCCGTATGCGTTTGATCTGTCGTTGGGTTCGGATATGTCCCTACACCCGAGACCCAGTTCGGGCAAATCCCTAAGCCCGAAGCCCTTAAATCTGATACTCAATCGGGAGTACACCTTGAGCACTGCCCTCATACTTTCGCAGTCTATCTAGGGGCGATCAAAACACGCCATGCGCAGGTACATGATGAACAATTTTTCAAGTGTTTCTGCGCGTGGGCAGTATCCAAAGCACACTCCTGAACCCTAAACTGTCAACTGTAAACCCTCTGAACCCCTAAACTCTAAACCCAGAACCCCAGAACCCCTGAACCCCTAAACGCCTAAACTCCAAATTCAGCCGACCCCTCTGCCCTCTCGTCCAAGCCTCCCAATCCTGAGGGCTGAGGGCTTAGCATGGACGGACTGACATCAGGATCTACCCAGAGACTCCACTATCCCTTAATTACGGAATAGATAATTTCAGGTGTATTACGTATTAAGGGATATTGGAGTCTTTGGGTATGGGGCGCTTTCCTTGCTAGTTCATGAGTAGCTATAAGGAGGATTGCAAAATGGGTTCGCGTGTATGTCATAGACGTTTTGTTGGATGAGTAATTATAAGGGGAGTTGATTAAAGTTTAGACCCTAAACCCTAAACCCTAAACCCTGAACCCTAAACCCTAAACCCTAAACCCTAAACCCTGGGGTTGTGATACGGTTTCCAAACGAAGCCTTCCGGGGTACTCTAGAGGCCTGAATGATCAGAATAGGGCCTTGGGCTGTTGTTCTAGTATGACTCTCATCAGAAGCCTTTAAGAATACAAGGAAAGATGAATACTTTTTCAGGCTTCTACAGTTGGTACGGTTGCTTCAGCCTAAGGGTCCATGTACCCAAATAGCATTTACTTTGGGCCCAATATAGCTATATGGGGAGTAATTTAAGGCCAGGATATATACTAAATGAGTATATGGACCCTTAAACCCTACACAAACGCTAAACCCTCAATTAGCCCTTATACTATATTATACTGTATAATTATACTGGTACCCTTAAAGGAACCCTTAAAGGAGCGCTCTTTGAGTACATGGAGCCTTGGGGTCAGGGAGGCCTTGAATCCTTAACCCTTAAAGCGGAAAGCCTACCCAGAGATCCCAACACCCCTTAGTTAAGGAATATAGTTTAAATCATAATATTAGGGCCTCTATAACTTATTAATATATATATTCCTTAATTAAGGGGTATTGGGCTCTCTGATTAGACCCTAAAACCCTAGACCCCTCAACCCTAAACCGTCAGACCCTAAACCCCAAAATCTTGAGCCTGCTGCCCGAATGCCTCGGTAGTACCTTAGCACCACACCGAAAGAGCCCAATACCCCTTAAATAAGGAGTATGCCTTAGGGTTCCTTCAAGGGCTCCTTAAAGCGATCTCTAAGGGTTCTATAAGGGAATTAAGGAATATGCCTTAAATTATAGGGGGCCGTAATGTTATGATTTAGGGTACATTCCTTGATTAAGGGGTATTGGGCTCTCCGGGAGTAACCTACCCTTTCAGGCCTTATACAAAGAAATCATAATAAGGAACACCAAAAGAGTAGGGTGTTATAGGGACCGGGTAGGGTTTCGGGTTTCCAAGAGGGTAGTAAATTCGGATCCCATTTTAGGGTCCACCCAAAATAATGCTGCACCTTTATAAACAGGACCCTCAAAGGGCCCGCAAATTTGGAGAACTAGCCAAGTGCAGAGTAGCTGCAACTTCACCTTTCCTCTCAGGATCGCCTTCCGGATGGACTCCTTACTGGCATCCTTGCCTCGGATGGTTAGGATTGAGGTGTTTAGGGCTTATGGGGTTTACCTATAGTCTCCATTGTAGTTCCTGTTTTTAGTTTAACCAATCTTATATTAAGGATCCTGAAAGGTAACCCCCAAAAGGAACTACAATGGAGACTATAGGTAGGGCTGTTAGGATTCAGGCTCAGTAAGCTCCCCTTGGCATCATTGCCTGGGATGGCATCCGCCAGCTTTGGGGTTTAGGGTTGAGGGGTTTTAGGGTTAAGGGCCCCTAAACCCCCAACCCTAAACCCTAAACCTAAACCGCGTTTAGGGTTTATAGAGTCTTGTCTCGGACGCAGAAGTCAGGATTAAAGCTCAATAAGGTCCCCCCTGGCATCCCTGCCTCGGTTGAGTAGGAAGTACTATCCCAAAGGGTCAAAGTAATAGTATCGTCTATACTTTGGGGGCCCCAATACCTACTAAGTACCTACTATAATACTTGGACCCTTTGGTTAGTAGGGAATGGAGGAATGGGGTACAGTTATAACTACTATTACTACCATTCTTCCATTCCCTACTAACCAAAGGTAAGATGATGGTTCGGTTGGGTACCCCATGAAGGATGACACCCTTGCCTCGGATGTCATCTGCCAGGTTGAGGTTCAGGGTTTAGGGCCCGGTTTTTAGGGTTTAGAGTTAGGGCGGTTAGAGTTTTGCGTTTCGGTTTTTAGGCCAGGGTTTAGAGTTAGGAGTTTCGTGTTTAGGATTGAGGGTTCAAAAGAAATGGGTTGCTTGTAGTTTATGTAGCATCGAGGGTTTAAAGTTTGCAGGGTGGTTTAGGGGTTCGGGCTTACCTGGAACAGTACCTTCGGGATAATCTTGAACAGCCGAATATGACGCATTTTTGCCGATCCGTAAATTGGTCATCATTTATGTTGAGTACGAAAAGATTAAGCACCAATGGCATGCTCCCCATTGCAATCTTTGTTAACGCTTATAGCAACGCGTATACTACAATGCTCTTCGGCATCGGGGAGAATCGCAGGTCAGTGCTCTGCCATCTCTCCAGTATTTGCATTAGGCAGTCATGTTGAATTTCATTTTCTATCTATCTATCGATCTATCTTTCTATATATGTGGCATGTACCCAACATGAGGCTAGACCCAGCCTTGTCTCTGCAACCCTCCCTGCCTAAACCTCACACTTTGTAACAAAACGATAGACTTAATCTAGGGGCCTTAAGAATTAGAGTAGGGTTTTGGGCCCGTTATACATTATACCACAAATATACCATGGAACCACCAAAATAGTACAGGCAACCAAGGCCACTATATTAGTACATAGAGCCTTCGACCATACGTCGTCATATGCGCAGTCTTGAAAGCTGCACAAACACGAGGATCTCTCAAGCCCGATTCCTGCAATCCCGACGATGGGGTCTCCTCGTACCCCAAATCCCAAACCCACCATTTTGGGGGATTCCTTGTATAAACATCGTATAACATACACCAAACCCCTAATGGTGTCTTGCTTTCTGGATGCTTGTCTGATTTCTGCAGTCTACGACTCACAACCCCCCCCCCCTCCCCATGCAGCCAGAGGTGCCAAGGAAGGGGAGAAAACCTGAAAGAAGGATGTGGAGGATGACACCGCCTCAGGCATTCAGAACTGGCAGGTAGAAAATGTTGGGGCTTAGGGTTTGAGAACCAACAATTATAGAGTACGGGCGAATGCGTGCCTGTACAATTGGAAGAAGCTTCGTGTATTAGGGCTCAAGGATTCTGCAGGAGGCTCTACTGGGTTTTTGTAAAGGGGCCTGGATTAAGAACTGAAGTAGGGTTGTGGGAGGTGGGGAGCACATTGCACTGTGTTTCTTGATTGGGGACTGTAAGGCGCTAACTAATCTCATTCAGTGTTCCGACCAAACGTAAGGGTCAGCGTTTTGAGGCATATGGAGTTCACGGCTGTTGAGAGCTTATGGACTCTAGACGTCTTGCACAAGGCTTGGCAGCTGGAGCGCATCGGTTCAGGGTGGGCAAATGCTTACAGAGCTCTGGATTTTCGAAAATCCAGAACAACCACCTGTGAAACCCAACCCACAACATCTGCCACACAACCCTAAAAGCAGCCTGCAGCATCGTAAGCCAGCCTGTAAGCAAGTGGACAAAACCGATGTAACGGTAACACAAACCGTTCGGAGCACCACATCAAAACACTTCGTCAAGGGCCATCCTAGAGCCCTTATAAAACACTATAGACAAGCCCCTGTAGCAGCCCTCTAAAACCGTACAGACCATAGAATCCTGTTTTCCTGATATATCCGCGACATGTTGTTAAGGGTTTTGGGGCTTAGGGCTTGTAGGATTCTATACGAGATTCCGTAAACGGTCTCACCGGTTCAGGGTTTAGGGTGCATAATTACAAGGTTCAGGGGTTCGGGGGTTTTAGAGGGCTGAGACGGGGCTTACATACAGACCCTAAACCCTAAACACAGGTTTTAGTTTAGCGATTGCCCGGTGCAGAGGCTATGGGGCTCGTGGAACCGACAACACACACAGATACGTTTTGTAGTTGTCTGAACGAGTCGATACCTGTTGAGGCCGGTAGAAGCAAACACATTGTTTGATTGTGCTACCTGGCGGTTCACGGGTAGTTGTAAGTGGAGTTATAAGTCCCCTAATATGGACTATAATCATGGTTACCCTACTTATAACCCTACTTATAACTACCCATGAACCTTGAAGTAGACATCCGAATGCAGCATCCTAGCAGCCGGGTCATATGTTCAAGACATCCTCAGATGCGGCTCTAGGGCGCGAAAGAAACTGAAACGAAGCCCCAGAGATCCCAATACCTCTTAATTCAGGCATATACCTTAAATCATGATATTAAGGCCCCTAAAATTTAAATGGTAAATTCATTAATTAAGGGGTATTGGGTTCTCTGGGTCCCTCTACAGTCTACCTACAGACTCGAAACGAAATCCTACCCCGCTTGGCCTCCAAACCCTCAGCCTGAGCCCGGCCCAGCCGTACGCACGAACCCCCACACGCTCTAAGATTTAAGCCTCAAGACTACAAGCCCAAAGCCTAAAGCCCTGAACCCCAAAATCAAAAGGTTGGAGCCCACGCCACAACCTCTGAGCTGTGGCCCCAATCACCGAAACTCTGCAACTCGCAAATTTTAAGCCCAAACTCCCCAAAACGCTAAGCGCCCGACAGCTCCAAACATCACAGGCGTGAGTATAGCTCTTGACTAGGACCTCGACCCCAGAGGGCATTCGGGATTCAATCTCTTATGTTTCCTCCTCATCGTCATCATCGTGGTATATGGAAGTAGCAGCAGCAGAAGAGCAGGGGCAGTAGGAGTAGGATTAGGGGTAGGATTTGGAGTAGGAGTACTGCGACGAGGACAAGGACGAGGACTAGGACAAACGCCCTCCGAGCCCATCATCGCAGGCTCGGGATTTGGGGCCGAGCATGCACAATGAGACTCCTACCGAAACCACCGAGATGTCCCCTTCAGCCGCAAAAAATGACAGGGTTCAGGCGTCAGGGGGGCCGTGGATTTCACATCTTGGCATTGTGAGCCTCACCTGGACCCCAAGAGTATGTAGAACAATAGCCTTTTGTAAGTTTTGGGCCATTATTTCACATCCTTTTGGGGGTCTATAGGCAGTCGTAATCCAGCAAACACCTAACCCTGGAGTTCGGGGGCTCCTCGGGTTCGGGGTTTCGCTGTAAGGCTGCGGCTTTTGGGGGTTTAAGGCTTTCGGTGCCCCACATCAAAACTCAAACCCCAAACCGTCAAAACCTAGAACACAACCCATACAAAACACACGAGAACAACCTTGCAAGGTTAAGGATCTTTAACAGAATTCAAAGGCATCAAACCGTTATGAAAAAGGCCCTCAAGCCTAAACCCTACTTGGAGGGTCGGGGGACTTAGTAACTGGTTAGTCTAGGGACTTATAAGTACCATAACCCCAATTAGGGTCCCTTATAAGTCTACTTACTAACTACTTACTAAGTCCCCCGACCCCCCAACCCTAAACCCTATACTTCCCTTATAGATCCCTTTAAAGGAACCCTTAGAATCCCCTTTAAAGGAGCCCTTACTAAGTCCCCCGACCCCCCAAGTAAACCCTAGAGACCGGCCTGGGGAGCCATGTAGGCTGTGGTGCCCACTTGGGCCGTGAGCCTTAGCTGTGATACCCAGTAACCTAAGAATAAAAAGGCCTCTCTTTTTGGTATTGGGTAACAACTTTATAAGGAACCTAGGACTACAAAAAGGGAATAAGGGTACTACTGGGCATCCTAGCTGAGCTGTGGAGTCCGAGCCACAGGACCCAGAGAACCCAATACCCCTTAATTAAGGAGTCTTTAAGGGATCTATAGGGTTTAGGGTTTAGGGAATTCTAATATCCCTTAATTAAGGAATATGCCTTAAATTATAGGGGCCTTCATATTCTGATTTAAGGTATATTCCTTAATTAAGGGGTATTGGGATCTCTGGGGAGGACTCTGGCACTTGGTTGCCCTGTAGCCGAGTTCGGGCTCCGGGTTCAGGGGTTTAGGCTTTAGGGGTGTAGGCTTCAGGACGAAGGTTGACCTTTGGGACTATGTAGGGGTTACAATACCCTAAAAGGTGCAAGATTACCTCGTCTACCACGCATTGAGTAACGAAGTGTACGTGAACTCCATGGAATAGGGGTCGGAACAAGGGTCTGGTGACATATTATTGTATAGTCGTGTACTGAACACATAGTATAGGGTTTGGGGATGTATTATTGCAAAGCAATGTTCTATTGAATGAGTAAAACTAAAATAGGGCCTGGTGACATAATATGGGTTAGTATTGCTAATTCTTCCGCCTCTTTCTCAGAGCCATTATCCAGGGCACAGGGTTTAGGTCTCGGCTGTCGGGTCGGAAGAATCTAGGGCTTTGGGGCTTTTAGGGTTTACCTGGACCCCAAAAAGTATGTAGAATAATAGCCTTTTATAGGTTTGGGGCCATTGTTTTACCTACTTTTGGGGCCTAGGCAGGGATTGTAGGGCATGCAGACCTTCGGCTGAGTGTTGTGGTATGCTACACCAGACTGTGAGTATGGAAGAAACATGAAGAAACTAAAGCCTGAACTCTAAACAGCCCAAAAGACACCCTAAACCCGAAACTCAACCCTGAACCTCAAAAGCCCAAAAGACCAAATATGTATAGCGGGAGTCTAACCGCAGCAGAAGCATCTTCTAGACCCAGCATCTCGGTCGGCTATATATGGGGAGTTGTCAAAATCAGGGTCCCTTTTGGGGTCCTTATTATACTACGGCACCTAATATTCGGGTACCAAAAAAAGGGAGCATAATTTTGACAACTATCCATATGATGATTTCGTGTTGGCGTTTAGTTGTTTAACGGATTTGTTCGTGCTGTTCGGTCTTATAGAGTTCCTTTGATAGTTCAGGTATTCGAGTTTAGGGCACCCGTATCCTGCTTGTGACACCCAAGCTGTGCTCACCAAGTCATATTCCCAGCCCTCTAACTCTCTAACCTTGGCCCTTTCCGTTCAGAACAACAGATCAAAAAATCCTGACCTTCAACCCTAAACCCGACTGTGCGCCCAGCCCTGATCGACAGGACCACAAAATGGGGTAATTACCTGGTATCCCCAGCCCCAGCACCGGAAAGCCAGGCGGCATCTGATTCGGTTCGAACTCACAGGACAAGCCAAAATCGCCTCAGACAGGGGGAGGGAGTCTTACTGCAAATCACGAGGCCGCGTTTGAGGGTCTCGGTTTGGCGAAATTGTTTGGTGCCATTTTCATTGACAGTAAAGTACTGGTTACTCGGTAAATCCAGTACTGTATCCTGTACTTTGGGCTACTTCTTCGTTTCCGTTGTGTTGGGGGCACTTCCTGACTTGCACATGAACCATCATGGCACCAGACAAGAAGTCCGACATCTACAGCAGAACACATCCCGACCCCGAAAACCTCTAGAACCTAAATATCCTGGAACAATAAACCTCGACGCCGCGTCAACTCCTCCCATGCCATAGTACAGCACAGCAGCCTGGCCCCAGACCCCCAACCCCGTATTCCCTTAAGGAAAGAGCGATTAAAGCCTTAGGGTCCATGTACCCAAATGATATATACTGTGGCTAAAGCAGCTTTGTTGCGAAAGTACATTATAATACTCGGGCACATTCAGTCAATTGAGAGCTGCGGGGCGAACCAGCAATAGAATCCAAAACATGTCGAAGCCCAGCCATGCGCCACCAGAATCACGGAGTGTCATAGTGCTCATTTAGCTGCCTATGTAAATGTGTGGGATATGTGCTGTTGTATGTGTGTATGTATGCTGTATGATATGGGTATGTCTGTACAAATAATCTCTACTATGGTCGTCCGATGAATCTGATATGTCCCTGTCGATTCCTTTGTTTGGCCCATTACCAAAACCCAAAGATGCAAGCATGCGAGATCCGCAACGAGTTCTGCCGCGTTGCTGATCCGCATTGAATTCAAAGACTCGCGATCAGTCCTGCACTTGCATCGCACACGGGTCTGTGGCTAAGGCTCAGGGTAGCCTCAGCACTCAAGACAAGAACTACTGCAAAGGTATGCAGCTACAAGACGTGTGATCAGGATCAAGAGCCGAGTTCCAGGGCCACGAGAGAATGCACGGATACTATCGTCGGACTCCACATGAGTCCCTCCTAATTCAGCTTATCTGCCTTGGTGCAAGCAGGATTGTCACGGCAACCTCACTTCGAACCTGCTGCGGTTCTACGAATCCTGCACCACCGGTAGATTCACAACAGCGCTGACATCAACGGAATATGACTCAAAGCTACCGACATGGGATATAATCGGCTTGTTGAGGGTCGGGGTGTTTGGACTCCGGATTTTATGGCTTCGGGGCAGCTTGTCACTCTGCCCACTTGAAGGATCATGGGACTTAGTAAGTAGGTTATAATTGGGGTTATAAGTCCCCTAACTGGGGTTATCCTAATTATAACCTACTTATAACCTTACTTACTAAGTCCCATGAGCCTTTAAGCAAGCTCGACTGCAAGCATGAAGCACCGAACTGCAGAGCTTGTTGAGCAAACAAAGTCGAGACAGGCACAGTGGATAGACTCCACGAGCATGCCTGCTTCATCTACGCATGTGGGAACATGCACAAACACACATGGGGAACGAGGATGTACACACGACTTGTATCAAGAATACTACTCATCCACTAGCCCTGCACCTCATCCCGAACCTACCGAACATAGAACCACTCAACCCCAAACATCTCTAAACTCTAAACCCCAAATCCTAAATCCAAAACTCGGCACATGAATCCCTGGAGCGACACCCTGAGACTCACCCGAGCTCCCTAAAGCTCCCCTCACCCTCCCTCACCCGATCCCTCCCTCTCTCTGGCATGGCGCCTGACGACTAAGATGTTCTGGGGCTTGAGATCCTCAGCAAGCACAGCAGGATTTGGGGGTTTAGTGGTTTAGGCTTTTGTAGTTTCGGGGAGTTGTGGTGCAGTGTGTAAGGGTTAAGGCTGTTAAGGGTTTTGGGTCTCGGATCCCGTGTCGTGCGAAGACACACGAAGATGGCTTCCGGCTCTTCTTCTTGAAGTTGCTCTTCTCCCCACTAAACCCGGTTGTGGTTGTTCCTTCGTAAACAAGTTCCAAAGCCAACATGGCTCTGGAGTTGCAAGCTCTGCAAGTAGCAGTCAGGACAGCTTGAGCAACCTAGAGTGCCGAGTGCTTGGGAAATAGGGTCGGCCCCTATTTGCATCTTCCAATATTGCACCAGCCTCAGTTTGATTGACCCAGACCCGGGAGAAGATCCTACTGTAGGGGCCTTAAAACATTAGAATAGAGCTTGGGGAGGTATATTCTTCTATAGTTATGAAGGAACCCCCAAAAAACCCTATTCTCATTATTAAGGCCCCTGCATTAGGAAACCTGAGCAGCCGAACTCAGTTGCACAAGAAAGCGATCGGCTGCAGAATGGGCACGCGATGAACGATGAAACAGCTGTGCAGGTAGGCCACGCCTGAAAGGATTCGTAATATAGGGGGCTAAATGATTGGAATACGGCTTGGGGGCCATTATAATTTTGCCATAATTGCAATAATGAGCCCCCAAAATAGCATTGGTAATTATAGAAGCCCCTATATTAGATCTTCGCGCCGCAAGGCTCCGGCTTCCCAAGCTCTCCACGCATAGACAAGAGTTCGAAGGCTCAAAGTATCACTAAGTAGGTACGTTTTAAAGTGCTTTAGACACCAAAGTAGCTACATACTATGTGCATACTTGGAGTCTTAGGGAAGGGGTCCAAGAAAGAAGAATTAGTGTCGGTTCCTTGCACCTGGAGGCTCCTTCTTTCAACAATACTTTTGAGCCCATACAGGCCTCTGAAGAACCCTGTTATAACCCACTAGCAGTCTCCTTAGAACCCCCTCAAACACCTATATAGTGGGCTGCCGCTACTCAAGCCGCAACACATGTCCTACACAAATCTTCCAGGGCCCAGAGCTCAATAAGCATGCTAGTCTAGGGCCCCATAAAAGCACAAAAAGCAAACATTAGGATAGTGATATCCCATATAAACCCCCTTAAAATAAAGCCCAGTAAGCTAGGGATATCACCATAAAATGCTTATGCTTATGTGCTTTTTGGGTCCCTAATATTCGGGTTTGAGGATTATGAGGACCGCCTGAAAAAAGTAAACGTGGATCCCCAAAACGTCGTCAACTCCCCATCCTGGGCTCCCAAGTTGAGTCCCTTCATAAAACATAGGTTAGAAGGGGCCCCCACCCTGTAATAGTGACTATAAGGATTGTATTAGGGCCCTACTATATTCCTATTATTATACCACTATTACAGGGTGGGGGCCCATTGTAAAACATAGGGCTCATTACCCAAAGGCCCCAAAGTAGTTCATTTTTGGGGTTCGTATATAGAACCCTATAGGGTAATCCCAAAAAGGAACTACTTTGGGGCCTCTGGGTAAGAAGGGAGTTTAGGAGAAGACAGAATATCTAGCCGGCCATACCTGTTGCTCGACTGATCTTGCTTATTAGGGTCTTTGGGTCAGGAGCTGGTCGCACTTCGGCCGGAGAAGCAACGGCGAGGCTTTTCCGAGCAGATGTTGCGCAGTCCATGAGCAAACAAAGGAATCCAAATGTAGAAACACACCCAAAGCCGCAGTCTTCAACCCCCTCCGCCCTAAGAACCAAATAGCAAGTCATGGAATCCCCAATGCTCCAGACGAGAGACCCAAAAAAACAAAACGCGCCGTGTGCTGATAACTCAATGCACCCCATAACTACTACTACTACTACTACTACTACTACTACTACTACTACTGCTACTGCTGCTGCTGCTGCTACTGCTACTACTACTACTACTACTACTACTACTACCACTACTACTACTACTACTACTACTACTACTACTACTACTACTACTACTACTACTACTACTACTGCTACTGCTACTGCTACTGCTCCTGCTGCTGCTACTGCTACTGCTACTACTAATACTACTACTACGACTACTACCACTACTACCCCATAACCCTCTTCCACCCGGAATCCCGGAAACGCCGAACCCCAAGTAACCTCACGGCCTACGCTCTGAACCCTGACTCCTAAACTCCTAAACCCAAAACCCGTATGAACCCCAAATAGAAGACCTGCTCAATGTTTCTCGTAGACCAGAGCCTATATGGAATCCTATGAAATACCCTCTCATAGACCAGAACCTGTATGTATTCCTATAGGATACCTTCTCATAGACCAGAATCTTAGTGGAATCCTATACAATACCCTCTCATAGACCCCTCGGCATGCGCAGTGCTGCTTGGAGGGTCGGGGGACTTACAGTAGTAACTGGTTATTTTAGGGACTTATAAGTACCATAACCCCAATTAGGGTTTTGGGGTACTTATACGTCTACTTGCTATCTACTTACTAAGTCCCGCGACCCCCCAAGTGGAGGCCTCGAAGCACTTGACGCATGATCAAGGCGGAGGTAGACTCTCTCATGGGTGTCTTCTGAGATCCTGGGAGGGCTCAGGGGTTCAAGGTTCACGGTACCGGGCTTCGAAGTGTAGGGCTTGGGGGTTTAACGTTCAAGACGGGGGGATTATGGTACACAGGGTTCAGTAGGGTATGTAAGGTTTATGGTATAAGGCTTGGGGGTTGAAGGTTTAGGGTGTAGGGTTTAAAGTGCAGGGCTTAGGGGGTTAAGGTTTGGGGTTTAGGTTTCACTTTTTGCTTAAATGCGAGCGATGCTTCCTGAAGCCTAAGCATTAAAGGTTTAGGGGTTGGGGGATTAGGTCGCTTGAGGGTTTCATGAGCCTTCAGAGTTTCACCCTGAACCCTAAATCGGTTGCATGCCTTACAGTGATAGGAAGCTTGGAAGCATTTACTTGGAGGGTCGGGGGACTTAGTAACTGGTTATTTTAGGGACTTATAAGTACCATAACCCCAATTAGGGTCCCTTTTAGGCTACTTATAAGTCTACTTACTAACTACTTACTAAGTCCCCTGACCCCCCAAGTAGGGGTTTGGGGCTCTGGCTTGACATATTTTCGACGCCTTCCTTGTAGCCGGAAAGAACACTTTTTTAGGCTTCCTTATTATGGTTTTCTACCTTGAAAAGGTAGGCTTTTTCGATGCCGCAGTTCAGGTATAGAGTGTTCCCTGCTCCAGAGATTGAGGAAAGGAGCTGATGCAGCTGAAGAATATCAGCTCAAAGCCACATAAACCCGGGTTTAGGGGTTCAGAGTTTAGGGGTTTAGGGTTTAAGGGTTTAGGGTTTAGGGTTCACTTCCAACTTTTTCGCCTATGGGCACGCCCGATAGATTCAGGGTTCAGGGAAACTCTGATTCACGAACGAAGCCTATGACGCAAGGGACTTGAGCCAGCATGTCTCCTCCTTGAGAATTGGTGTACCTTAAACCCTAAACCCAAAAGTAACCTGAACCCCTAGACCCAAAACCCAAATGAAATAAATGTAAGCTGCATCCAACAACTCTACAAATACAGGTTCCCAGGTTTGGTTCAGGACGGCCCAAATCATGACCCGAAGGCCTTAACAGGTGGGCTTAGGGTTTTGGCGTTTAGGGGCGTAGGGGTTTAGGGGTTAAGAGTTTAGGGATTACGGTTTAGGGCGCCCCAAATGCATCCGAAGGGGCGAATATAGGAAAAGAGGTGTCCCTCGCTGCATAGTTCGAGGATCAAGTACAGGTTTTCCTGAGATGCCGGCTTTCGGGGGTTAACGGTCGGGTGTCAGGGTTTAGGGTTTGGGGAGCAGGATTTCGGGCTCGGGCTTCGAGGATTCTGTGCTTTTTCATGCCTACAGAGCCTTATGAATAGGGTGCTGGGGTATATTATATACTATTACTACAATAAGAAAACCCCCAGAATAGTACTGTGACTATTTAGGTCTCCACATTAGGGACAGCACTTCCGCTGTTCCCGGCATGCCCGGAGACCCGAATGCTTCTTACTTTGGACAGATGCTACATGTAGGCCAATGTAGGCATTCTGATGATGCGTGCCAGAAATTTGGATCCTCGTCACGGTAGCGGGAGTCCGCTGTCGTCATCGTGGTAGCGGTAGTGGTCGTGGTAGTGGTGCGGCAGTGCAGAAGCGATAGTGGTAGCAGCAGTAGTACTGGCAGCAGAGTGGCGCAGAAGCAGCACTACCGTTCAAATGGCATAGAAGTCTCAGCAGCAGGAAGAGCAGGATCGATAAGCCTTATAGGACTTGCCTTGTCGCTTTGGAGTGCTTTCAGAAGTTTAGTCAGCTAGCTGCTCGCCAGTCTGTTCTCAACGCGAGCTGTGTGATGCATATTGGGCAGCAAACAAAGCTTGTAGTGCCAAGCTGCCAGCGGCGCGAAATGTGCTAGTCACGTATGTCGCAAGCTGTGTGTTGACAGCATAGCAAGTGGTAACTGTAATGGCATACTGGCATGTGGCTGAAGCACGACACACACCAGATTGCTCAACGAAGACATGAGAGGCAGGAGATCGACAAGCCGTGGTATCTAGATCTAGATGCTGCCACGTGTCTGAATCCTCGAAAATTTCGTACAGCTTGACCTGACAAGGCGAGCAGTGCGCATACCTAACCCATGGAATGACCAGCTCGACAGCTCTGATATCAATGAGCGAAGCTCAGAAACCACACCAAAATCCTGAAGTTTGAATCCTGCAAGCACCGCGAGCAGGGGGTTGGACCGACGCTGCAGCTCTCGCTACGGGTCGTGGGACGCAAGCTGCATGTTGAAGCTATTATGTGCTGCCACTTTGCAATACGCGATTTGACCCTAAATCCTACAGACTCGAGTCAGAGCTAGGCTCGACTAGCACTAGCTCAGCTTGTTAAGTCGGCTGTCTGAAATCGTCTTATATAGGGGCCTTAATAATTAGAGTAGGGTTTGGGGTATAGTATACTATAATCATAATACGGGGCCGCCAAAATAGTATAAGTAATTCCTTAAGGCCCCTATATATGTTCGGGTATGTAAACATGGTGGAATGCGCTGAGGCCGCCGCAATGTTTGGATGATCCACTTTCTTTGATATCTGGATCCTGGGAGTGGTTGGGGTGTCGCTGATAGGTCCGGGGTCGAGGTTGCCCAGAGAACCGAACATCCCTTAAATAAGGAATATACCTTAAATGATTTAAATGATAGAGGCCTTAATATGCTGATTTAAGCGTATATTCCTTAATTGAGGGGTATTGGGATCTCCTAAAGCCTAAACCCTAGGATCCCTTTAAAGGAACCCTAGGTATTCCTTAGTTTTAGGGGTGTTGGGATCTCTGTGTGGAAGGTTGGAAGTCCGCCTTCCCGCAAAGCTATGCCCAGAGTGTTACTGTGCCGATAGGCCCCAAAGTAGTTCCTTTTCGGGGTTCATATTTAGAACCCTATGAGGTAAGTAATCCCCAGAAGGAACTACTTTGGGGCCTCTGGGTAATACTGTAGTGGCAGCCAGCACTGCTCGTAGCTGGCATAGATCCTGACTGTATTTACTGCTACTTACTTTAATCCCTAAAGCTGATGAAGGCAAGGACGGCTTTGGGGAAATGGAGAGGGAGACACAAATGTACGAACCTGGGCCCCCGAACCATGCTCAATGACCTAAGAACGCCACGAACCCAAGCCGTCGTTCTAAAACTGCATGGAAGGATGGACACCGTCATTGAGATAGGGAGACAGCGAGGAACAGAGCGTGCATGCGTGCATGCAAGTATTTGGTGTATATGGATCGATGGATGGCTGGCTGGCTTGGTTCTGGATGGATGGATGCACGGACAGACGGATTGGATTGATAAATGGACAAAGATACAGAAGCTGGATCTTTCGCGCCAGCGGGAAGCACTCCGAGCATGTTCGGACAAGGCCAATCACAGAAAGGACTTGTGGGCATGCATGGGCCAATACACAATAACGAAGCAACGGTTCAACCAGTGAGGCAAAGCGGATTGGCGGCAAATCTTGCGAGAAACAGAAAAAGCGTCCGGCAACTGCGTGCATACGCTGCCAGAGCGAGAACACAGCATACATACATCATATAGGGTGTAGGGTACATGCAGAGCTGCACATGTGCACATTGACATACTTCCAAGTCTAAGCTGAGCTCCGGTTTCAAGCCCATCCGAAAGGATAACTATTGCGCAGGAGCTTGAGGCAGTCAAGCCACTCATTCTTCAAGGCACCGAAGCCATTTTTGCACCTTGGACGGCGAACCTACTCTGAGACAAGGCGATTCGGGTTTCGGGTAGTTGGCTGATGGAATGAGTGAGACCCTCTCGGGTTCAGGCTGAGGGCCAATGGGCCAACGAAGGTGAGACATTGGGTACGGCCCCCACTCAGTAGTAGTTGAATCATATTCCTTATATAGATAGATTAGGACCTTAATAGTAGCCCTATTATAGACTCTTACTGTAAGGGGGCCGTACCTAAGTGAGACATCATGTTTACCGGGTTCACCTTCTGCCAATGGACTGATCTTGCTTCCACAGCAACCCCAATAACCCAATATAGGGGCCTTAATAATTAGAATAGGGTTTTGCGACCCGTTATAATATAATTACAATAAGGGACCAATCAAATAGTATTGGTAACTGTTTAAGCCCCTATAATTATTAAACTCCTATAGTCCCAGACCGCTTGCCAACACCCTGAACTCCGCACAACCTCAAGAGCGTAATCCCGAAACTTTTGCAGTACCCCTGAGCCGGATATAACCCCTTAGCCGCTCTGAACCCACCCTAATCCCTAATGCTTCAACCCTCGACCCCAAAACCTAAACCCCTAACCCTGAACCTACATCCTCATCACATAACCCTAAACCTAAACCCCTATAAACCCTAAATCCTAAACCCGAAACCTCAAATCCTAAATCCCTAAACTCTAAAACCCAAATCCTGAACCCTAAATCCCTATAAACCCTAAACCCCTAAACCCAATCCTCAACCCTAAACCCTAAACCCTCATGGCCGTGTCGCTGCTCTTTGGAGATGGTCTTCACGGCACGCTGGGCGCCTGTGAACTTCACCTCACATCTCTTGGATCTAGAGGATTTAGGTTTAGGGTTCTGGGTTCAGGGTTTAGGTCCTTAGGGCTCAGGTTTTAGGGCTTAGGATGTAGGGTTCAGGCTTTGGGGTTTAAAGCTAACTTAGGGCGGCATCTGGCTGTTCACATACACTGAAGCCCAGAAGGTATCCAAACTCTAGACCCTCAACCCTACATAATGTATACTTACATGTGTATATATATATAAGGGATGTATAATGATTTCTATACGGTCTAGCATTCAGGATTTAGAAGCAGGGCGGGGATCCGAAACAAAAGTTACATGTTCTGAAAAAAGTCTAGTTCGTATAACCCTAACTCTCACCAACAAACCCGACCTGCACCAAAACAACCTACTTTTTGTCTGGGTCTCTTGAAATTGCATATTAGGGTTCATAGTCAGAGCTTACAGAAAACCCTAAACCACCCTACAAATTAAGAACCTACAGAAAAGAGCTAGTGTAAGAACCCTAAACCCTAAACCCCAAACCCTAAACCAGTAAACCCTAAACCCTGAACCCCTAAACCCTAAACCCCTAAACCCTAAACCCCTAAACCCTGATAAGGAAAACCCTAGTGCCGGCCTTAGCCTTGCGGACCACGCCGTAGCTTCCTGCGTGCTGCGTGAAGGGATCGAGAACCATTTTTTGAGTTTTCGGAAACTGAACTTTCAGAGTTTAGGGTTTTTGGAAGTCGGATTTTAGAGTGTGGGGTTCAAGGTTTGCGAGCTTCCGGTACAGTGCAGGTTTTAGGGTCGCGTGGACAACTTTGAGGTTGGGGCGCAGGGTTTCGATGTCAGGCGGAGGCTCGAGAACCGCCAGTGGCAGTCCGGTGGCCGTGGGTTAGTACTTGGAGGGTCGGGGGACTTAGTAACTGGTTATTTTAGGGACTTATAAGTACCATAACCCCAATTAGGGTCCCTGTTAGGGTACTTATAAGTCTACTTACAAACTACTTGCTAAGTCCCCCGACCCCCCAACCCTAAACCCTATACTACCCTTATAGATCCCTTTAAAGGAACCCTTAGAATCCCCTTTAAAGGAGCCCTTACTAAGTCCCCCGACCCCCCAAGTAGTACACGGACTCAGATGTCATCGCCTTCAGCCTGATATGAATCGGCTTAGGGTTTAGGGTTTAGGGTTTAGGGTTTAGGGTTTCCCAGAACTCTGATCAAAACCACTACGAGTACCGCTCGGAACAGCCCCTACTATCCGCCAGCTTGTTGGGTGCCTGTGCTACGGCGCATCTCACAGGAAACGAGCCACAACACAAGCGGCGCAAAGCCCTCTACAACTGATCGAAGACCAGATGTCCCAACGAAGCAGGGCTGTTGAGGATAACTGGTCCTTTGCCAATGTCGCCAGACTCGTCCATGTCATAGAATGTAGACAGTTCCTTGGAAGATTCGTTAGTGGACATAAGACATACGAGCCTGAATTGCCATGTCTTAAGCCTTCAGCCGACTCTTGACCGTCTTGAGCCGCCCACAATCAAAGTATATATAACTCCATTTCTTAACTTGGACACCAGATCTCAAAGATGTGGGACAAAACGGCCTTACATAACAGTGTGACTATGATTGTTCTTACCACTGCGGAAAACTACCCTACTCGTCAGATTCCATACCAAGCACGTTGCCACGATTAGCACCGCTAGGAAAGGTTATCGGGCTTCAGGATCAGTATGCATATCTACACGCTCCCTATAGCCGAAGATGGCTATACGCGTTATTGATGTTTTGTACCACTCTGCAGGGTTCAGGAATAGGGGGGGCTTGGGGGCAATTTGCATCTCAGCTTGCCTGATTCAGGGAATAATCCCGATGAGCTCCCCTCTTCTCGAAACCTCCTCATCGAAATACCATGCGTCTCGGGGATTTTCCACGATGATCTTCAGCCGCTCCTGGGCGTGGTATAGGAAGCTTTCTTCTGCTCTGGGGTTTCTTCGGTTTGATGTGGTAAGGGCTGAGAAGTTTAGGGTGTGTTGTCAAATTACCCATAGGCCCCAAAGTAGTTCCTTTTCGGGGTTTGTATATAGAATCCTATAGAGTTATCCCAAAAAGGAACTACTTTGGGGCCTCTGGGTTGTTTCGTCTAGGGCTCGGAAGTCGGAACATGGCCTTGAATAATTGAGTAGCTCCACACTGCTATCATTTGCAACACCGAGCTAGAGTGCTAAACCGTACCCCGCAAACCCCCCGGCACCCAAACCCCCAACATCTTCCCCCCAAAGCTCCTGACCCGACACCCTAAATCCAAAGTAGCTTACATAAGTTTAATCCCCCAAACTCCTATAAACCCTACAAGCCTGCAAGCTCTGCACCTCAATCTTCGGTGTAAATCTTGAACATCTTAAACAAAACGGACGAGTCCAGGAAGAGTGCCCAAACTCTTCATCAAACCGTTCTAATTGAGAGAGGTCGGGAGTGGGTTTAAACGTCCAGGTGCAAGGAATTCGGGTTGATGCTCAGCCCTAAACCCCAAATCCTATTCACGAAATCCTAAACCCTAAACTCCTTAAACTCCCTAAACCCTAAACCCGAAGAGCCCAGAAACCCCAAATCCTAAACTCGAAATCCTAAACCCTGACCCAAGCCCTGCGGCTTTAAGGTCGAGGGTTCCGGGATTTGCGGGTTGGTCTCGGCTATACTATATGTACTATATATATATATATATATATACACTAGATATATAGATGTACATGTGTATATATATATATATATATATATATGTATACACACTATATATACTATATAGATTTGCTCCATGATTTGGTGATGTCCGTGGCAACGAAGGACATTCTTTGGATGAATCGTGTCGCGAATGTGGTTGAGCTTGCGAAGCAAGCCAGGGGTCGTATCTCTTCGCCCGGAACTGTCTCCTCCACTCTCGTCTCCGTATTCCAGCGAAGAAACGGCCAGAAGGGCTCCTCCTCGCGATCCAATACCAGACCTGCTGCGATTGTCTCTGCTTTCCGTTCCGGTGCTACTGCTGCCTCCGCCCTCTCGATTGTCACCTCCAGCAAAGCCGATAGCATCACAATCCTCAGTGGTTATCCGAAGACCTTGTCGGTAGCTGCCAGGGAATTCTTAACATGACTACAGGTATGTATCCTCCGCAAGTCACTAGTACTTGGTGTTTGGGGGGGTCTCGGGGTCTCCTTTCAGAACCAGTGCTTTAAGACTTTAAAGGTTTAGGGTTTAGGGGGTTCGGGGTTTAGAAGTTTAGGGTTTAGGCTGTCGAACCGCAAGTATTTCGAGATGGCCCTGGCAACCGAACCCCACTTAGGTCTGTCCAACCAACCAGTAGGAGTGGGGCTGGGGACTAGGGTTGATTATGATATGGGTTGAGTTCAAGGTTTACGAACGCCTAGGATTGAGGCTTTGGGCAGAGCTTTCTTATATGCGCTGGTATTGCAGGGAAGCGTCGGAGACATCGCGGCCCAGCGTAGACATCAACTGAGCAATAGCAGGCAGCGTCAACCCAAACCGGGTGGCATTAATTGACCAAAACAAGATTAGTGTAGGAGCCTGCTGAAGAAACCTTGGGCCTTTAGTAGGGTTCCTTATATGAACCCTACTAACTTGGGGTTATAGGCCCAGGGCTTCTTAATCAGGTTCCTACATTAGTAAGGCCGTCGGACAACGGTCCACGGCCTTCTAGGCTTTGCATGACTCGTGATGATCGAGCTGTACCTTTCATCACCAGCAGGAAAGAGAAGAGAACATCCGCGCACTTCATTACGACTGCATGGTGTCCATATTGGTGGTTGCCAAAATTAGGGTCCCTTTTTGGGTCCCTAATCTAGTACGGCACCTAATATCTAGGGTTCCCGAAAATGGACCATGATTTTGACAACCACCCATATCTGTCAGCCTTAGACCGAAACACACAAGCGTCTGCTCGAATCATGAACATGTGTTGCACACCCAGCACATATGTGTCGGCCCTCCCAGCGAAGAACAAATTTCCAAGGCCATCGCTAGATTTTCATCGGAGACTCACGCTTGAGCGCTTAGAGTCTGGGATATCTGAGATTTAGGATTTGTGTACGGTTCAACGGGCCGCATGTGTAGATGATAGTTCCAGCCCTCATGCTGTCGGACAGAATCGCTAGAACGAGCCAGTTAACGTTTCCCAAAACGCGGCTGCCCTAAACGTTAACCCACCCCGAAATATCAGCCGCAAGTTGCTTAAGATGCACCTGCATCCAAGATCCGATGGGAAGAAAGTGTGCACGTTTTGGCGGAGTGCTCTACGTGTCTGAAATGGGCTGCTGCGGGACCAAAAATGACAAGTACACCTATCTCTACTCAACATACCCTAAGGGTCCATGTACTCATATAGTATATACATTGGCCTTAATGTAGTCCCTATATAGGTACTTTGAGGCCCATGTATCTCTATATGGGTACATGGACCCTTAGGGATATCCAGTGTGATAGAATGGTCTGGAAGCGCGGCAAAGGCAAAATGCTGTAGCAAACGTAGCAACAAAGTCGACTGCAAACTCACGAGCACACCGCAAAACTGAACAGCTAAGCGGTACGATCAACAAGTAGAACTATCTGGAAGCACGGCAACTTCAAAAGCTGCAAGACAAATTCTGCCACAAGGGGAGTTGACTCTCAATCTCACGAGGACAACGCAGGACAGGGATATGCAAGTATCGCATACACTGGCATACACCTACAAACTTGCCCGTCGACCGAAAATCCTCGTACATGCCGATGAAGCCTACAACATGTTCTAAGAGACCCCGACAACACCATCGCAGTTTCTTGCAGTACCCCCGGAACCCTACCCCCTTAATCATCTCCTCAAACCCCCCAACCTCTCATCCCAGAACCGAAACCCTAAATCCCTAAATAGCTCTCATCCCTGACCCCAAAATCCCTGAACCTTAAAACCCCACAAAGTTTGAATGCAGCCCAGCATCGCTGAGGGTTGATGCGGATCTGCGCAGGTCTTTTCTGAAGCAAGCCTCGCCGGAGTACGGGCTCAGCGGTTTAGGGGTTTAGGGGTTTGGGGTTCGGGGGTTTAAAGGGTTTAGGGTTTTAGGGTTTAGGTGTTTAGGTTTACTTGGAGGGTCGGGGGACTTAGTAACTGGTTAGTTTAGGGACTTATAAGTACCGTAACCCGAATTAGGGTCCCTTTTAGGGTACTTATAAGTCTACTTACTATCTACCTACTAAGTCCCCCGACCCCCCAAGCAGGCTTTAGGGGAACAGGCCTAGTTGGCTCTGGCCTGCTATCTCTCGGAGTGGAATCATGCGTATTGAGCTTTAGGCTACTTTTGAGATGGGCCCTCGCGTGATAACTCTATGAAAACCACGAACAAGAAAAACGGAAAAGTAATGGACACATAATGGAACCAAACATCAAAACAACAGATTAGGACCGACCCAGGGAATGGACAAAAAACAACAAAATACTAAACCAAACATGGGAAGCACAAACACAAATAAATCAAACGAAAACAAGACCTGCCAGGGCCAGGGCATCAGGGGCGACAGGTTCCAAGAAGGACGACGCTGGACAAGCATTTTGAGTTTGTTTCTTCCCATTTATTTTCCATTGTGTCAGGGCGGGATTTGGGCTGCGTCCTAAGGGGCCTTCATCCTGGAAAAACACAAACTCCCTTCAAACAAAACACAACTGAAAAATAATTGGAAACGTGGAACCAACAATTGAAAGAATGAAACCAACAATGTCAAAACAAAAAAAAGGATGGATCGGGGGCCGCACGGGGACTATGGGAGAAACCGTGGAACAACAATTCAGATGCCAAGTGCACCCTCCAACCAAATCGGAAAAACCATTGAAGTCAGAATGCCACGGGATTCTAAAACCGTTTTTCCGTGTTTGTTCCATTGCGTGTTTGATTGCCTGAGTGCCTCGATTCCATCTGCAAAGCCGGAATAATCCCACCATGTGGGGTGGTGTGAAAACCCCGTGTTCAGTTCCTATACGCTAAATGGCGTTATCGTTTTTTTTTCTTCTTATCGTTTTCCCATGAAAGAAACTCTTACTGAAGTGTAGTACAACTGTAGTATAGGGGACATGGAAACATTCGTATATCGAAGGCAGTGGTTGTGCTTCTTTGGCGTGAAGTAGGTTTAAATATACGGGATATGAAGCTGCAAGCTTAGTCTGGTAGGATTCCGATGGAGACCTTTTCACTCCGCGCTGGAGCTGTGCGTTTCGAATCCGTGCCAAAATGCATTCGCGAGGTTGGTGACGAAGCGGGTTGTGCGTGCTCAAATCGCCGTGAAAAAATCCAACTTGGCCCCATGCTCCTCCCAACCCCGAGTGCGCGGGCCCGAATGCATTTAGAATCCGTGCCGAAATGCATTCGTGATGTTGGTGACGAAGCGGTTCCCAAATCGCCGTGTAACAGCCCAACATACCCCGCACTCCCAAACCCGAGTGCAGGGAGCAAATGCGTTTAGAATCCGTGCCAAAATGCATTCGCGAGGTTGGTGTCGAAGCGGTTGCCCAAAATCGCCGTGTAAACAGTCGACATGCATGCTCCCATGCCCGAGTGCGTGGGCGCAAACGCATTTAGAATCCGTTCCGAAATGCATTCGTTAGGTTGGTGACGAAGCGGTTTGGGATGAGGGTTTGGGGTTAAGGTTTAAGGTTGAAGGTTAAGGGGTAGGGATTCGGGTTTGGGGTTTAGGGTCAAGGTTTAAGGTTTAAGGTCAAGGGGTAAGGATTCGGGTTTGGGGCTTAAGGTTAAGGTTTAAGGTTAAGGGGTAGGGATTCAGGTTCGGGGTTCAGGTTTAAGGTTTAAGATGGTTTACGGTTAAGGGCCAGGGATTCGGGTTTGGGGTTTAGGGTTAAGGTTTAAGGTTTGAGGTTCAGGGGCAGGGAACCCGAGTGCAGGGAGCAAATGCGTTTAGAATCCGTGCCAAAATGCATTCGCGAGGTTGGTGACGAAGCGGTTTGCGCGTGCTCAAATCGCCGTGAAAAAGTCCAACTTGGCCCCAAGCTCCTCCCAACCCCGAGTGCGCGGGCCCGAATGCATTTAGAATCCGTGCCGAAATGCATTCGTGATGTTGGTGACGAAGCGGTTCCCAAATCGCCGTGTAACAGCCCAACATACCCCGCACTCCCAAACCCGAGTGCAGGGAGCAAATGCGTTTAGAATCCGTGCCAAAATGCATTCGCGAGGTTGGTGTCGAAGCGGTTGCCCAAATCGCCGTGTAAACAGCCGACATGCATGCTCCCATGCCCGAGTGCGTGGGCGCAAATGCATTTAGAATCCGTTCCGAAATGCATTCGTTAGGTTGGTGACGAAGCGGTTTGGGATGAGGGTTTGGGGTTAAGGTTTAAGGTTGAAGGTTAAGGGGTAGGGATTCGGGTTTGGGGTTTAGGGTCAAGGTTTAAGGTTTAAGGTCAAGGGGTAAGGATTCGGGTTTGGGGCTTAAGGTTAAGGTTTAAGGTTAAGGGGTAGGGATTCAGGTTCGGGGTTCAGGTTTAAGGTTTAAGGTTTAAGATGGTTTACGGTTAAGGGCTAGGGATTCGGGTTTGGGGTTTAGGGTTAAGGTTTAAGGTTTGAGGTTCAGGGGCAGGGAACCCGAGTGCAGGGAGCAAATGCGTTTAGAATCCATGCCAAAATGCATTCGCGAGGTTGGTGACGAAGCGGTTTGCGCGTGCTCAAATCGCCGTGAAAAAGTCCAACTTGGCCCCAAGCTCCTCCCAACCCCGAGTGCGCGGGCCCGAATGCATTTAGAATCCGTGCCGAAATGCATTCGTGATGTTGGTGACGAAGCGGTTCCCAAATCGCCGTGTAACAGCCCAACATACCCCACACTCCCAAACCCGAGTGCAGGGAGCAAATGCGTTTAGAATCCGTGCCAAAATGCATTCGCGAGGTTGGCGGCGAAGCGGTTGTCCAAATCGCCGTGTGAACAGCCGATATGCATGCTCCCAGGCCCGAGTGCGTGGGCGCAAATGCATTTAGAATCCGTGCCGAAATGCATTCGTTAGGTTGGTGACGAAGCGGTTTGGGATGAGGGTTTGGGGTTAAGGTTTAAGGTTAAGGGGTAGGGATTCGGGTTTGGGGTTTAGGGTTAAGGTTGAAGGTTAAGGGGTAAGGATTCGGGTTTGGGGCTTAAGGTTAAGGTTTAAGGTTAAGGGGTAGGGATTCAGGTTTGGGGTTTAGGGTTAAGGATTAAGATGGTTTAAGGTTAAGGGGTAGGGATTCGGGTTTGGGGTTTAGGGTTAAGGTTTAAGGTTCAGGGGCAGGGAACGCGAGTGCAGGGAGCAAATGCGTTTAGAATCCGTGCCAAAATGCATTCGCGAGGTTGGTGACGAAGCGGTTTGTGCGTGCCCAAACCGCCGTGAAAAAATCCAATTTGGCCCTATGCTCCTCCCAACCCCGAGTGCGCGGGCCGAATGCATGTAGAATCCGTGCCGAAATGCATTCGTGATGTTGGTGACGAAGCGGTTCCCAAATCGCCGTGTAAAAGCCCAAGATACCCCGCACTCCCAAACCCGAGTGCAGGGAGCAAATGCGTTTAGAATCCGTGCCAAAATGCATGCGCGAGGTTGGTGACGAAGCGGTTAGTGCGTGTTCAAATCGCAGTGAAAAAGCCCAACGTGGTCCATGCTCCTCCCAACCCGGGCCCGAATGCATTTAGAATCCCTGGCGAAATGCATTCGTGAGGGTTGTGATGAAGCTGCTTGATTTGAGTTGTGGAACTCTGCAGGCGCGGCGAATGCACAACATACAAGCCATCAGCAGCAAATAATGTACAAGACTACTGGCATCATAAACTGACGTTATCGTTTTTTTTCTTCTTATCGTTTTTCCAGCCAAAACACTATCCTTCCAACAGGCGCCCAGCGAACACAGAACGAAGAGGCGCGGGGTTACTACACAGCCCCATGTGTTAGTTTCCGAGATAATGGCGTTAACAGGACCGGGACATCATAAGGCTGCCTAACAGCCTCAATCAGCGATTGGGTATTTCTGGAAATTAATGTGGGTGTCGGTTTAGGAATATAGACTCCTTTAATGCGTCGGCTCGGGGGCTAAGTCCGAATCCGAGTAAAATTTTTGGGGTACTAATTAATGCGTTTTTTTTTTGGCTGGGGGGAGTTTGTGGTGGTGGGGCTGTGCTGTCTGCTGATGGTCAATCTTAAGGCAGCCACGACCTAAACCCCCACCCAAACCCCCACCCAACCCTAAAACCCTGGCCCTGAAGCCCGAAAATCTCTTGCAGAATTGTTTCGCTTATTGGGGCGTCAGGAATGAGACTACTCTGTACTACTACTGTACTACTATTGTACTATTGTACTGCTACTGTATGCCTTGCTTATTGGGGGGGGCTGCTAGGGTGAACCGCCGAATTGGGAATTGGACCCTTGCTCGACAAAGGCCTCTCCAGTACTAAAGTTTGTATAAAAAATTCAATTTTGGGTCCAATCTGGACCGACCCCCCTTTGGGAAGGGTTTAGGGCTTAGGGTTTAGGGTTTGTTAGGGTTTAGGAGTTTAGGATTCGTTAGGGTTTAGGGTTCGTTAGGGTTTAGGGTTCAGGGTTTAGCTGGCTTTATGCTTTGCTTATTGGGGGAATGTGCTCACTGGCTTTATTTTCTGTACTATTACTGTATTACTACTGTACTACTGTACTACTGTTGTACTACTACTGTACTACTAGTGTACTATTGTACTACTACTGTACTATTACTGTACTACTATTGTACTACTGTACTATTATCGTACTACTACTGTACTACTATTGTACTACCACTGTACTACTGTTGTATTACTATTGTACTACTGCACTATTATTGTACTACTGCTGTACTACTATTTTACTACGGTACTATAATCGTACTACTACTGTACTATTACTGTACTACTATTGTGCTACTATTGTACTACTGTACTATTATTGTACTACTACTGTACTACTATTGTACTAGCACCGAAACCTACTAAACCCCCCCAAACCCTTCTAATTAAGCCCCCAAACCTCAAATCAACCGAAGCCCCCAAGAAACCCTCCTATTTAAAACCAAAGCAAACCACCCCAAAGCTCCCGAAACTTACAGAACCCTCTTAAGCCCGAGTACTTAATTGATTAATTAAGCACCAAACCCTACAAAACCACCCAAACCCTTCTACTTAGGCGCCCAAACCCCGAGACTCCCGACTCCCTCTAATTGTTTAATTAATTGTCTTAATTAATCAAAGCCACCCAGACCCTAGCTGCGACCCCGCAACCCCCTTCTAACTTACTTAAATAATCAAAGCCACCCAGACCCTGAGCCCCACTCAGACCCCTGACCCCTGTCCGGCTCCACTTTAAATAGAATTTGTTTTTTTTGGTCGGGGGGGGGGGCGGGGGTACCCCACTATTAAACCGACACCCACATTAAGTCCTTTTTGGATCTCCGAAACAGCACAGCACCCTTACAGAAAAGATCCTAGTGAAACAGAAAGCTGGAAACCGGACTAAGCACAACTAGAACTGGGATTCCGTATACAGTACTCTTATAAAAGGATGAAGCCTGGCTACTGTATCCTATCCTCCAAACCCTAAACCCTAAACGCTTCGTACTCTTGTATAAGGATGAAGTCTGGCTGCTGTACCCTATCCTCCAAACCCTAAACCCTTAACCCTTCGAGCTGCACCTGCAGTGGGAAGCTGCCCTCCCCGTCGTGCTTGGTACTGGCAGTCACAGTATAATCACCTCGATCGTGAGCCTTGGCTGGGTGTTGTACGGTTGATAATATAAATCTGCATTGCCTTAAGGACCCTACACTATGGGAATTATGGTATATTACGGTATATTCCTTATTATGGGTAATGCAGGGTTTATATCATCAACCGCACTTGGAGGCTCATGAGTAGTTACAAGTGGAGTTACAAGTCCCCTATCATGGGTTGAAATTCTGGCTACCCTACCTATAACCCCACTTATATATATATATATATATATACATATATATATATATATACCCATGAACCTGTAAGTAGGGTTTAGGGCTTTAGGGTTTTAGGGCTTTGGGTTGTGTTGTTATACATAAGAGAATTCGGGGAGGTAGAGTTTGGGCATAGTTTGATGGCCCTAGTGACTGTGGACATTAGAGCCTGCTTTTTGTCAAGGACTGCCGTAGTCATCGTCTTTTCTATGTCCTGTACAAAGATTCCGGAGATCATTATACCCAGAGGCCCCCAAGTAGTTCCTTTTTGGGATTACCTTATGATAGGATTCTATATATGAACCCCAAAAAGGAACTACTTTGTGGCCTTTAGGTATAGCACCGTCATTTCTGATCTTGTCATCTCTGTAGTCTGCGTAGTGCTTCTGGTGGTCTTCCAGTGAAAGAGACTGCGAGCCCTGCACATACTAGGCGTGTTTGGTTTTTCGCCATCACTGAGCCTGCCGTTCATAACTGCTGCTATGCTGACGACCATGATGGCAGCAATCCTTACCCTAAGGCTCAAAATGGCCCAAAAGCCAAACATAATATGGTCTTTAGGCCCAAAAGCCTCAAAATATGAGCTCTTAGACCCTAAACCCTAAACCCTAAACCCTTAGGGTTACAGCAACCTGTCCGACGGCTGAGGCCAGGCCACCCGAGTTCAAGCCCTTAGGGCTGGGCCCATGTACCCAAATAGGGTTCCTTTAAGGGTACCATAAGGGTTCCTTTAAAGGGACCTATGAGGGATCCATAAGGGTTTAGGGTATAAGGGCCCATGTACCCAAATAGCATATACTTTGGGCCCCATGTACCCATATAGGGAGTACTTTAGGGTCAATGTATATACTATATGAGTACATGGACCCTTAGGGCAACATGTAGGGTTACGGGTCCATCAATCTCATGACATATTTGGGTGGTTGTCAAAATTATGGCTCCTTTTTGGGTCTCTAATACAGTACGGCACCTATTATTTAGGGTACCCAAAAAGGAACCCTAATTTTGACAACCACCCATTTATCACTGGCTGTAGCAATCTGAAAACTCCAACTCCAAAGTGCAGGTAAACGATCGAAACGGCTTGCGCGCCTTTACTGTACGAAGGACTCCTGCATCAGGGGAAGCCACCGTCGTGTTTATGTCGATAGTAGAGGCCTGAAAATGCATGAGCTGGGCCTAAATCCAGTATAACCATCCTTGACAACATGCGGATCAAAGCGGACCAAGGCGCAATGGCACGAGATATGTGCTTGTTCAGCTTTGTGTTGCGAGCCAGCTCATCGTTGCCTTCGTCCTCCAGTGACTCGAACCGTGTATAGTTTCTGGATGCGGCACAACTTTGTAAGGAAAAGCCAGCCAAAGTTCAAGGTTTAGGGTGCGGGGTTGAACCAATGCTCAGCTTGTGTCGAACAGACTACCTAGCACGTGCTCAATTCTCTTGCCTAAGGCATCTGAATCATGCCGCGCATCAGCTATAGGGCGTTCTCATGCATCTGACGAAAAGTCTCTGCACCAGCGCTGTTTGGCTATCTCTACATCTGTCTAGGTGTCTGTCTATCTATCTGTATCTATCTGTCTACCTACCTGTACCTACCTACAGATCTATCTAATTATCTGTCCCTGTCTGTCTGTCTGTCTGTCTGTCTGTCTGTCCACCTATCTGTTTGTCTAGCTATCCGTTCAGCCGTCAATCTTTGTAACTGTCTATCTGCCTATGTCTCTACCTGTCCATCTGTCTGTCGATCTATCTATCTATCTATCCATCTACCTGCCATCTCTCTCTCTCTCTCTCTCTCTCTCTGTCTGTCTGTCTGTCTGTCTGTCAGTCTGTCTGTCTGTCTGTCTGTCTGTCTACCTAGCTGTACATACCTACATACCTGCCTACATACATACATGCATACAGATTTACTTACTTACTCGCTTACGCCGCTATTTCTACATGCTTCGCACACGGTTTACTTGTCTGTAAACCCATCAAGGCTCACCCAATCCAAGAACAAAGTTTGCGGGATCGTCGAGGCTGCATGGGACTTGGCCATAAGGTGGGGAATGTTTGGGTTTAGGGTTTTGCGGCTCTGTGGGTTTATAATAGGGTTTGACGGAGCTGAAGGGCTTAGAGTCGGGTGCTCAGAGCAGCAGCCTACTTCAGCTTCCTCAGTCATAAGCAACAAAGCTTCAGACTCCGTGATGTTGTACTCGAAGCATGCGCTGGCTTGTCCTATGATCTTTCGGGTATGTCTGGCCACAAGTCTTGGAGCATGCCCCTTTCCTATATTATGGACCTTCATATATGACGAGCTGGATTCTCCCACTCGCCCGCTTCTACGGATACTGAAAGCCCCTGACTGAATGATGCCAAATCATTCTCCACCACATCACCCCGTGATCTAATCTAGGGGCCTTAATAATTAGAATAAGGCTTTGGGATATATTGTACTATAGCTATAATCAGGAACCCCCAAAATAGAATAGGTATTTATTTAGGCCTTTATGGTATGCCCTGTGCCCAGCTGGCCTCGTCTTCCTGGTTTTGAAGCTTCCGGCACTCTTCCGCCAAAGCCTCCGTGGTGTAGCCCTGTGCATCCTGACCCAATCCACAAACTGGTTTAAGGCTTAGGGCCTAGGATTTAGGGTTTCGGGTGCAGGGTTTGCGACTTGATGTTTAGGGTGCTAAACCCGAATGCCGTAACCGGTACTTGGGGGGTCGGGGGACTTAGTCAGTAGTTAGTAAGTAGACTTATAAGTACCCTAAAAGGGACATTAATTCGGGCTATGGTACTTAAAAGTCCCTAAAATAACCAGTTACTAAGTCCCCCGACCCTCCAAGTATCGACACTACACAATCCTACGAGGCAAAACCGTCAGAGTCCGAGCTGTCATCCGAAGCCATGGAAAACTAGGATACCCAGTAACCTAAGAATAAAAAGGCCTCTCTTCTTGGTATTGGGTAACTTTATAAGGAACCTAGGACTACAAAAAGGGAATAAGGGTACTACTGGGCATCCTAGAAAAGGGTCGGGGCGTGTATTTTGAGAAAGGGTCGGGGGGGTGTATTTTGGATTTCAACTTCAAGGGTGTGGGGTCATGGTATACAGTATCACTACTATAACTACTACGACTGCTATTGACCTACTATTATTACTATTACTACTATCATTACTACTATTACTACAGGGCTTTCGGGGCTTAGGCTTCAGAGATTCGGTGCTCTAGACTTCACGCAGAGGATTCAATGCTGGTGGTTTTATGCCGAGGGTTTCACGGCATTCTGTTTAGGGGTTTCGGGCTAGGTTTTGCTTTCAGGGCTATGGGAAGAGATTTGCTTGTAATGACATCCTTGCGCTTTGGAAGCGCAGTTCCAGTGTAGACCTGCAAAAGCTTGATTGCAAAAACTCGAGCCAAGCCCAAACCTTAAAACCTTGTTTGAGGTAAATATTTGGTACCTATATACGTTCCCAGAGCATGACTCTGCTCCTCTTCGTCTGAAAGGAAGCTGGCTAGAAGCCCAACATTCCCAAGTCATTACACCAGCACGAAGTTTCGGACTAGGGTTTGCGTTCAACTCCCATGAATTCCCCAAACCGAGGTCCTGAAGACATCGGATGCTTGCACGCACCATCTTCTCTGCATCTATACGCTCCTCAGATGCGTTGAGTTGAGGGCCGGGCCTTGAGGAGTTCATCCTGGAAACTTAGCTGGACGAAGGGCTTGGGATGAGAAGGTTTAGGGCAGGGGTTTATGAAGCGGTCGTCGGACGATCCAGGCGAGACTGACGCAGGGATCAGGGTTTAGGGGTTTAGGGGTTTGGGGGTTAGGGTTTAGGTTTTCGGGGTTTAGGGGGTCTTAGGGTTTTGTAGAGCTTATAGGAGCCGGGATGTCATGACGCACAGCGCTGAGCTATGAACTTGGCTCCCAACCCCGTGGCCCGTGAAGCCAGACATGGAATGGGACACAAGCCCTGAGGGGTACATGTACCCAAAATAATAGATTCTTTGGCCCCAAAGTATCTGTATACTGATTACCTTGAGGCCATTTTATTTATATACTATATGAGCACAAGGACCACCCAGGAGATGTAATCGACCTGCATGAGTAAACAACACGTGGCCTGATGTGTTTGAACGATTTTCAAGATATATCTGCTATGGAATGCCGAAGAGTGCCTACAAATGCAACTAGTGCCAGAATCTTAAGCATGCTATCAACGAGAGCCTTCAACATCAAGACTGTCCTCATCATCACCATGGAATGACTGCATCAGACACGCTAATAATATAGGGGCCTTATTAATTAGAATAGGGTTTTGATGGGTATATTCTACTATAACCATAATAAGGAACCCCCAAAGTAGTATTGGCAAGTATTTAGGCCCTATACCACATCCATAGAATAGCCCTTACTTATCGTAACCCTTATAAGCCTCTTTAAATCAACCCTAGGGTAATTATTTAGGCCCCTATATCACTGCGGGCAGGTGCTTTCAGAGTGCGTGCTGGAATCGTGTAACGAGATCCTGGCTTTAAGCCCCGAGCCTTAGGCACTGCACTTCAATCCCCTAAACATAGAGGGCTCCCTTTAACTAAAGGGCTCTATATAGTTGTAAGGGCTACTATAACGGCCACTATCCCTTTAAAGGGTTCTATATAATTATGAGGGCTACGATAAGGGCAATGTAAGGGTACTTTAAACATGCTGTTACTAGAATTGGGTCTCGGCAGAGGCCTGGGGAAGCCATAGATGTTCTTCTCGAGGCTGTTCCTTGTCGACGGTATGGGGTCACTGGATGCCCGCACAAGACTGTCTGCAAGAACAGGCACCAAAGGCCACAGCAACGAACTCATACTCAGCCGTTCTCCCGGAACCGAAATCCCTCAACAACGAACTGTGTTCGACATCGACCAATGAGCTGTGCTCTGTTTCAAGATTGCGCAGTTACATGCTGAGCTGCTTTCAGGATGAAAACGCCGATCATGTCAGAAGACGCCTTGCAGTAATCATGTTCTCTGCCAGCGTACATGCTAACAGAACTAGAGCTAATTTCAATAGTAAAGATAACTTGATAACAGTAACTTGATAGTCTTCATCATATATTCTAACAACAACAGTTATGACAATAGTGCTGGTGAGAACTTAAAAAGGGAATAATAATGACGTTATATAATGGGTATATAATAGCTATATTAAGGGTAGAAACCTAGGGGTCCTTATTAAGGCTCCCTCCTTTTACCCTTGGAGTAATGTAGGAGTCGCCGGGGCACGCCAGGCACCCGTTTGATGACCTTCGACACGCGCTCAACTCGAAGCTCTTCTCGATTCAACTCCTCCGAAAGATCCGGGGTCCTCTTGGACTCAGGGCCTTGGGGTTTAGGGTTTTGGGTTTAAACTCCTCCGAAAGATCCGGGGTTTACCTATAGTCTCCATTGTCGTTCCTTTTTTTGGTTTAACCTTATATATTAAGGATTCTAAAAGGTAACCCCCAAATAGGAACTACAATGAAGACTACAGGCAGGGTTTACCTGAACCCCAAATAACTTACATAATTTAAGAACTCATATATATATATATATATAAAACATATTAGGGAACTCTAAAAAAGGTAGGTTCCTTAAGGGTCCAGGTAGGGCCTCGGGGTTTAGGTTTTGGGCTTTGGGGTTTAGGGCATGCGAATTAGGACCAAGGTTTTAAGGGTTAGGGCCTGAGATTTGAGGTTTTGGGTTAAGGGTTTAAGGCTTGGGGTTTATATTTCAGAACTTAAACCCTGGAACTCGCCCCAAACCTGGGAGCAGTCGGAGCTTAGAGCCTCGGATATGGCGGCTTTAGACTTTGACGTCAGGTTTTTCGTCTTTCACTATTCGTGCTATTTAAAACTATTGTTCTGATTAAAACTATTTTCTCACCAATTTGAATATTATTGTTGCTATTATTCTGTTGTAAGTCTTGTTACCGTTTATTTCTCCACTTGCTGTTGTTCGCCTTTAAGCTTTTAAAGCAAGTCTAAAGTCCCGCGAACTCCCACCCTAAACCCTGAAGCATAAGCTCCTAAACCCTAAAGCCCTCAACCACTAAACCCCTAAACCCCTTAAACCTCTAAACCCTAAACCCCTAAACCGTATTCCACCCTGCCACTCAATGTTTCGCGGCCCCCTGAGCTTCACAGAGTTTTTTGTCAGCTCGAACCTAAATCCTTCGGATAAGACTTCATTACGGGTCCATCTACCCCGAGAGGATGTGCTTTGGCCCTGAAGTTTAGAGTTTAGGGCTCTGGGATGTAAGGTTAGGGCTTACGGATTAAGGCCAGTTTTAGGGCTTCGAGTTTAAGGGTTTTGGGAGTGCTTTGGCCATGAATGGTCACTGGAGTCACTAGATGGCAAATTTTGTTTAGGCTGCAACGGGATTCCGAGACATTAACAAGTTATTCACAGAAGCGGTGCCTCTTGCTCGACATCGCGCACGGCCTCGAAATCGCCTGCCCGCCGTGTGAGTTTCAGCTTTGGTGAGATCTTCAATCATGAACCAAGACGCAAACATGCCCCCCAGAACCGAAAGCCCCAAAAACCCGAACGCCGACAATAGTTGAACCTTAAAACCTAAACCCTTAAACGCGGCACTCTACTTATTTGTCCCAGAGGGTCCATATACACTACCACTATGGAATTAGGTACCAAAAGACCATGCCTGTTATGGGTCTTTGGGTGCCGAAAAACACAATGGTAGTGTATATATGGACCCTCTGGGTATTGCTGACCCCCCAAACCCTAAACCCTAAACCCTAAACCTTAAACCCTAAACCCTAAACCCTAAACCTTAAACCCTAAACCCTAAACCCTAAACCTTAAACCCTAAACCCTAAACCCTAAACCTTAAACCCTAAACCTTAAACCCTAAACCTTAAACCCTAAACCCTAAACCCTAAACCTTAAACCCTAAACCCTAAACCCTAAACCTTAAACCCTAAACCTTAAACCCTAAACCCTTATAATCTAACCTTTAGGATTCTGCTGACTACATTTTGGACGGTGGTCGGGGGCCGGGATCTCCAAACCCGACGTAGAATCTCGGAAGCTTTTAGCAACACGGTTTAGGGCTTAGGCTTCTTAGGCTTCTTCAGTTTAGGGTTTAGGGTTTAGGCTTCTTCAGTTTAGGGTGTAGGGTTGTCCCTTCCATGTTACTTCTGCTTCAGTTTAGGGTTTAGGGTTGTCCCTGCAGCTTACTCGTGTAAGCATCTAGCTTTGGGGCTAAGGGCTTGTGGTGGAGGGCTTCAGGCTCTTAAACGTGAGGCCCCTGCCCTATGCCCTAAACTTGTCTTAGCACCAAGTGACAAAATTCGCGAACCGCCCCGTCATAGGAACTATGAGCCTGAGTGCCTAGAGCTTCGGGGTTTGGCACTCCTGATGTTCGTAAGTTTTTTTGAATCTACGATACCGGACCTTTGCAGAAAAGGTCCGCTATCATAGATGAAAAAAACTTACGAACATCAGGAGTGCGAAACCCCGAAGCCCTAGGCACTCAGGCTCATAGTTCCTATGACGGGACGGCTCGTAAGTTTAGGGCTTAGGGTGTACGTCTAGGCTTCATGGTTTAGGCTGTGGGGTTTAGGTTGCTTCAGGTGGGGACTCCGAGACACAAGGATCCTTATCTCAGAGGTTCTCGCCCTTAGGGAGCCCACGTCTGCAGGAAATTTGGATAATGTCCGGGGGCCTGAATAGTTTGAAGAGGGCGTGGGAATATCGCAATAGATATTGAATGAGGAACCCTACGGGGTAATGTTAATAATTACTGAGGTTACTACCGTATAGGATCTAAACACTACAGACATATCCCTGTACGGACCTCGAACCCACACAGGATACCCCTGCGAACTTGGATAGCATAGCGCTTTGAGGCAGTCCGGCCGGATATGAACGCTGCTTGGCTCGTGCTACTGCTGCTGTTTAGCCAAGGGTCCGTGCTTGAAAGCCCACTGATGTTGCTACTATTCCGGTTGCTGTTGCCATGCGACTATTCCTTGCAGTACAATGCTACAATTTCGGCTAGCTATATATGGTCTTCCTTCCTTCCTTCCTTCCATTCTGAAAGATATTCCTGATACTCCTTGTTTATTGAACCTGTCTTGCAGGTGCCCTAAACCCTAAACCTACCCCTAAGGGTCCAAGTACCTAATAATCATATACTCTCAATATCCTAACCTACATAACTACCATCCCAAAACCGAGTACCCAATTACTGTGTCCTTTGGACCCTTGGGGTACTTTCAGCAGCACCTCCCGTTCGACCGGAAAGCTCGATCAGCCCTGCGTCGGTCGCTTTGGACCCGAGCATGGAGGACCTGAAAGGCTGACCCTAAGCGTCCAAGTACTCATATAGTATATACATTGGCCTTGAAGTACTCCCTATATAGGTACATTGGGCCCAAAGTATATACTATTTGGGTACATGGACTCTTAGGCTGAGTTGGGGATTTGGAGTTTGCTTGGAGGGTCGGGGGACTTAGTAACTGGTTATTTTTGGGACTTATAAGTAGCATAACCCCAATTAGGGTCCCATTTAGGGTACTTATACGTCTACTTACTAACTACTTACCAAGTCCCCCGAACTTGAGCACAAAGCGGTCCCCATACCCATAGACCACCCTGAAGTTGCCTTTGCCCTCCATGGGCACACGGCGTGGCGGGTCGTAAGGACTTTCAGTCCGCACATCTGCCAGTAAGAAGATCTCACTGGCCAGCCAATGACGCGGCTGCTTGGGAAACCTTTGGTTGGCTTGCTTTATCGAAACCGCGTGGGGCTCCAGAGAACCCTCCTCAGTTTTAACCACCGGGTCTTTGGTGAAGTTTCGCAGGATTGCTGCGCAGGTCGCCTCCTCGAGTGGCGCCATGATCACCGACTCTGCAGAAGAGACCTCCGAAGTGTCCTCCCCACCGTCCTCTTGATGGTCTGTTGCGGCCGCATTGCTGGAGTCTCTTCTAGTTCCTTGTTTAGGGTTTAGGGTTTAGGGGGGTTAGGGTTAGGGTTTGGGGTTTAGGGTTTACCTTAACCCTGAATAACCTACCCTTTTAGGATTCCTTATTCTGATTTCCTTATATAAGTCCTTAAAAACCTCGGTTATTCAGGGTTTAGGGCTTAGGGCTTAGGGTTGAGGGACCCTCGGAATTGAAACCGATTAGAAGGCTTACACTCTGTGCGACGCTCCTGGTTGCCGGATGCTCGACGGCTCCTGTATATGGGTACCTTTCAGGGGGTTCCTTTAAGGGATCTATAGGGGTTAGGGTTTAGGGATAGAAATCGTTTAGGGTTTAGGGATGGGCAAAATCCTGCATTACCCATTATAAGGAATATACCATAATTCCCATAGTTTAGAGTCCTTGGGGTCGTGCAGGATTTTGTCCATCTACAGTATGTAAGTACTCGGGTGTGGCGACAGTAGTCGGTTCGCGGTACCCTGAACGCCAGAACACCACAATGCTCATCACAGTGTTTATGAAAGGACACTCACAGGCTGAACCTCTCATATGGTACTTTCGCAACACGAGGGATAATGCACACATACATATATACATAATTAAACACAACTTAAGTATTGACATATCTGTATCTATCTATATATATATATATATATATATAACCTAAGATCTCTGCTATTACAACCGTGCATATAATTAAGGTAACCTGAATTACAAAGGCCTGCGCGCATTCCAAGAAGCAAAGTCGTATAACGCCCGATTGTGTCAAAAAACCTTCATGTTCAGAAGTTCAGCTGTAACGTAGGCGCCTTGATAGTAAGAATAGGCTTTGGGGCTCTTTTGTAGTATAATTAACTATATTAATGAAGCCCTAAGGACTAATATACGTAATTATATAGGCTTCCATATGAAGCAATCCAGAGCTGAGGAGGTGGCACGATGGTCTTCCATTCGAAATCATCCTTGAGCGATGACGAGAGCGGGCGATTTCAGATCACAAGCATTCTCAAAATTCGAAGACAAATAAAGGTGATACTGTCAATAAAACTGATGCTGACAATCACAGTACTTCAATAGTTAGAACAAACTTAGCAGTAGTAATGAAAACAGGTTTTAAGCGCTTAGACTAGAGCTTAGTCGTTAGGGTGTCATGAGTTGGTTGGATGTTTCAGGCTCCGGGGCTCCACTGCCTGGTCCTTAGTAGGGAAAGGGGGAATGGATATTGGAGACTATTTGGGGATTATAGAGGGATTGGTATAGGGATCCATTCCCCAATTCTCTACTAAGCACCAGACAGTTCAATGACGTACGATGTAGGAGGGAGGGCCCTGAAGGTACGAGAGGTCTGACAAGAAGAGAGGCAGGTGCTACTAATGTAGGGGCCTTCATAATTAGAATAGGGTTCCTTTAAGGGGTTCTCTAAGGGAGACCAATAGATCTATAGTAGGGCTCTAAATCAGGGGCCTTAATAATTAGAATGAGGTTTTGGGGTATATGATACTATAATTACAACAAGGAGGCCCCAACAAAGTATAGGTAGTTAATAAGGCCACGATAAACATTGGGTCAATGAGTTTTAAGGGACTTATTGTATAATCAAACCCATACGCGCATCATCATGGCCCCGACATTGCAACGACCTCCCAAGTCCAAGTCACGCCTCATAACCCCCGCAAATCGTCAGCCCTCAAACCGAAGCCCTAAACCCTAACCTCCTAAAACCCTAAGTCCTAAACCCTACCCAACCCATAAACCCGAAACTCTAAACTCCTATAAACCCTCAACCTGAACCTTAATCAAACTTAAACAATAAACACTATACACTCCTATAAAACCTAAGCTTGAACCTCAGTTAAACTTGAACCCCTGAGCCCTAAACCCTACCCACCGCCTAAACCCTAAACTCCTAAATCCTAAAAAACCTTTAAACCTTAAACTTAACCCCTAAATCCCCAACTCTAAACTCCTATAAACCCTAAAGTCCAAAACCCTAAACCTCAACTAAACTTAAACCCCTACACCTCATCCCTGGTGCTTGCCTGGTCGGGATCATCCTCGGGGCCCGAAATCTCCTCGGTCTCGCCTCCGGTTTACCCATATAGGCCCCAAAGTAGCTTTTTGGAGTTCGTATATAGAATGCTATAGGGTAATCCCCAAAATGGAACTACTTCGGGGCCTCTGGGTAGAGTTCAAAAGTTTAGGAAGCCGAGTCTAGGGGATTTAGGGTTTAGGGGTTTAGGAAGTTTAGGCTTTAGGGTTTAGAGTGTAGAGTTCAGAAGCTTAGGAAGTGTAGGGTTTAGGGTTTTTTTAACTAGCGGTTCAGGGCAGTAAAGGGTTTCGGAAGATTATAGCCTTGGGCTTAGGAAGATTGAGGTTTGTGGCTGTTTTTGGGGGGTCTCTCAAGGGTTTAAAGTGTGATGGGGATTGTTGCTGTGGAGGGGAGGAGGGGTTTAGGGTTTAGGGGGCACAGTGGCCCCCTAAAAAAAAAGGAATGTTATGTAAACGGTGGAAGCTAGCAGCTTAAAGGTCGCCGGACGTGCACGAAAAAGTCCCAAAACAAATGCAAACGTCTAGGTGGTTGTCAAAATTAGGGTCCCTTTTTGGAGTAATTACCCTAAAGATTAGGTGCCGTATTATATTAAGGGCCCAAAAAGGGACCCTAATTTTGACAACCACCCATCTGAATCTAAACCACCCTTGCAGCGGATGCCAAACAGGGAGTAACACCCACGTAGGGTTGGGGTCAGGGGATAGGACGCCCCGACGACCATTGTTGTTGTCGGGCTTGGGCATATGATCTTGCACCGGCCTCCTGTACTTGGAGCTGACACAATGCGTCTAGAATCCGAGGTCAGATTACTTTCGATGGATTGCCGACGGACTGGAATGATTCACATTTCGGAGGAATTGGGGTATGCAGCTACTGTACAAGGTGCACATGTGCACACACACACACACACACACACGTATCGGTACCTCACCTTCATATGCACCAGGTGCATACGCGCAGCCTACGCAAGAACTACGCCGTGCCTACGCGAAGTGCAATCCACTACATCCGATTTTGGACCTCCTCGAGGCCTGTAGTAAAACTACTTATGGAAACTGGAACTCTATTGTGTTGCATGGGCCCACGTGCCCTGGGATGCAGTCATGGCACGACTTCGATTATTTGTAATACTAACTGCAGTCTGCTCAACAGGAGAAAGACTCAAACACGGCACAAACAAACCTCTTGCTCCTATCTTAGCACATTTCAAAACATAGCCTACGCAGCCTGCGCAACAGGTCGGCCTACGCAAGGCCTACGCGCATCTACGCGCCGCAAGGTGAATGGCTACGCGCACGATGTTGCATCATGTCGGATATTCTGGTTTATATAAACTCCAACATAGCTAAAAAAAACGCTGCTCACCTGCCTACCCACCTACGCACTACATATGTACATACATGAAGACATACATAGATGCAGAAGCAGGATAACTTTGGCAGGGAACGTAACCGTAACCAAAAACCTCGCTGCCGAAACCCTATATCGCCCTTTCACACAAGTAATTTATGCAAGCCCCACGTCCGAAGCAAGCTGGGAGATCCAACAGCACCTCAAAGCTATCCGGAGGCTCGCGACCGACAACACTCCTCAAACTCCCCCTCGTATGTCCTGCCTCTAAGGGAAAAATAGTGACGAGTACATAACTGTGACTAAGGCAGGTGAGGCTGAAACACCCAAAGGGTGGCCCTTCCGAAGCCAGACCCGAGTACAAAACCCCACTAGAAGCCTAATAAGACAAGTCGGTACAGTCCCCGCTAAACGAGACGCGTGCCTCCAGCCAAGGATGCTTTCCGCGACCGTGAAGGGGAGCGTGAGGAGGCAGGCGAGACAGGACTGCCTGGGACGTGGTCGCTTGTTATTCTGAGTCTAAGGATTCTAGGGTAGATTAGGTGCCAGCCGGTAACCAAGCTACTATTGCTACACCGCCGCTACAGCTCCTGCTGCCGCTGTCCTCCTACATGCAATAGCAACCGCAACAACTACTACTGACTGCTGCTACTGCTGCTGCTAGTGCTGCTACTTCTACAACTACCACTACCACTAATACACTACCACTACTA